ACGTAACAGAGTAAACGGAATATCACGAAGTAAAGATATCAGGGTGGTAATTGTAGAATGCCAAACGCGTAATGAAACTGTAGTAAATAGGAGGGTAAATACGAATCGGCAACGAGCACGGCTTGGACTCGTTAATTTGCCAGGATTTCGCCGAACGTTCAAGTAGCTTTTATCGCGGGCTTACGTTGAGGCGAAATTAATTTTCTACCCGGCGTAATTAGTTGAATTTCCGTTCGGCTGTCTTTGACTCCGCCGGTTCCTTTCAAGCCGAGACGAGTGGAAAAATGGAAGGCATCAGAGAACGAGACTCCCCGATTCTCCTCCGCTTTGGTCAATTTACATTCTAGGACGTGCGCTCAATGGGAAACGAGGTAAACCCCGAATACTGGGGAAAAACGTACAATCGATATGCCCTCGGGTCATATCCGATCTGATTACGCAGCCGTTAATTAGATCGATAATTAGAGGCCATCGATTCGGTACAGTTTGTTGACTTATTCGCCTCCGTCAACGTTACCGCCGATCAAATATCTGGAAACGTAAACGAGACGCGGATCCATTCGCAGATGGGTTCGCTATAGAATTCCTCTGCTAATTTGATCGTAATTACCAGCAGTTGCTGTTACGAACAGTTATTAAACTGATGGGCAACAAGAAAATCTTGCGAGTGGATATTTCACATTTCTTTCACGAAGATCCTCAAACGATCATTTAAAAGTTTCGGTGACTTATATAAGTTTCTTCCGAATAAACATAATTTGACGGATCGAACAGTTCCAAAATATGTTACAAGCTAGTCACTTGATCGCCACTAACACAACTATAACACAATCGTTATAAATCAGTTCCTTGTAATTCACATGTAACATCTTTAAAAACTCAAAACTTCGAATCTGTCCATTACCTCCACAACCCTAATTTCTAATAATTACATCCACATTCCGCGAAAGATTCCAACCGCTTCTAATCCCTCAGCCAAACCATTAAGTCCAAGTTTCACCACCGAGAAACAGTCCAGCATCGATCCGTGGATCTTCCGAGCGATTCCTCCTTTCGCGTCCCCCTCGTTAAACCCGAATAATGAAATTATCGAGTGGAAAATGATTAAACGTTGCAGAATGGAAGAACGCTTTTGAAACGTAATAGAGCCGCGCGAGCGGCGCAAGTAACGCCGCGGGAGCACGTATCGTTCCAATTAAATAATTCCGGGGAAATTACAGGCAATCCACAAATTACACGGGAAACAAAGACCCACCCCCCGCGGTGCCGCCCCGCCGGCGCGCTCGCCGGCGAACGTAACCGCCGTGCTATGAAGTGAAACGCGACATTAATAAACGCGATTGCGCGCCGCGCGCCGGTCGGGCATCTTAAAATATCGATAACGGTCCGACCTAATTGGTTAATGATCCGCTGCGGCGAAATCTGCGCCTTTGCTCCCGGCGCGGCCGCCTTGTGGAAATCTGTCGCGCATTTCCGCGGCGCGGCGCGGCCGACGCCGCCGCCAGCCCGGCACGCCTCGTTTAACAGCTTACGGATAACTAAAACGGAAATAATGGTGAAACACTGGCGCGGCCCGTTACGGCGACCCGTCGAACGATATAATCCTGACATTATTGCGACCGTGTTTCATTATCGTAATGGTAAATCGACCCTGAATATATTCCGTTACGTGTAACTGTTATGTATCGCTAAAAGGCAAACGTAACGCGGTGTTAAACGAACCAAAAGGAGACCACGGATTCGCTGATACCATCATTTTTGTTTCGCACGTACCGTGGACCTTTCCACCCTTGTTCATCGCATGATCTGATTAGTTTTCCTTGTAGCTGTGCTTAACCAGTTAACCGCGCTCAACGAGCATACGCGTTATCTTAAGGCTTGACTTAATCCTAATTCTGTCAATGAATTATTCATTTCTTCGGATAAACGTGTACTTCCTCTTCGTTGTGACGTTTTATTGAAAGACACCCTAAGACGTCCTGCGTTTGACGAGTTCACAGTTCATTTTTTTATTCTGTTTTTTTAGTATTTTATATTTTTTAAACTAAATTCCACGGTGAACAGGTTAACGGAGTTCAGGGAAAGAGATTTATTTAATATAAGAGGGAACTCGGAAAACTTGGATAGCATGGAAACTTCTTTTAAAGGTTACTCAGAAATCTACGTATTAATATAGGTGATCTTTTAGTTGGGAAACCCACCGATCCGAGATTTCTCATCAACTTAGTTTTCATCCCTTACGGTTGCGAAGAGAGTACAATAGGAGTATCATTCACCGTCTCCAATACAACGTGTAGAACATCCATCCGGACAAATTGCGAGGATCTTTTGAAAGTTCGGATAATCCCCGAATCGTCCCCCCCTTCCCTACGAAATCCCCGAAAAATAGTCGAGCGAACCGTTTCAAGACAAAATCCGCGTCTTTGATTCCAGCCGTGCGAGAAGCCGAGCGATATCCGAGCGGAGCAGTGCGCGGCGTACGACGACGTACCTTATAGCGGGCAGCTGCTGAAATGGTATCCGCATTACGATCCGGCGAGGCCGTGCGCTTTGATCTGCCGGGGCGAGCAATCCTTGGAGAACACCGGGAACCGATTCAAACAGGAAACGTCCGCGGAGAAAATGCTTCCGCGCGACGCCACCGAGGCTTTGCAGCTCGACAGCGACGAGACCATCGTGGTGCAGCTGGCGGACAAGGTGGAGGACGGAACGAAATGTTACACCGACGGCACCGACGTGTGCATCGCCGGTGAATGTATGGTGAGTACGATGCTTTCCTTCGAATTTCCATTGGTGACAATTGTACGGTTATCTTCTTATATCGCGAGGATACTTTAATTTTGGAAATACCACGAACCTCGATACAAAATCGAACGTTTCGTAGAATAATTGAATCCTAGGGAGACTGATAAATAGATTACGAATAGAAACTATTGCTAACACGTTAACTGCCACGAGAATTTCGAAGGTTTTGTGTAACGATACATATTCCTAAAGGCAAATGGTAATAGAAATAATTATTAACGACTTTGTATCGTGTGTTACGCTATCATCTAGCTGTTTGTGTTGCCAAGTATTTTCGTGCGACGCCAGTTTTCTTATTGTAATTGTATTTAAGCAATTTTGAAGTCAACGTGTTAAGTGGGAACTAACTTTTTCTCTTAAGAATTTCGATAAGTTGAATATTTTTAAATTGCTATAGTTATTCTCGAGTAACAGATTGGTAATAGAGGATTGAATCGAAATCGAACGGAACCGAAGCGCCGAATCGCGCGAACTTTCGGCGAGTGTCTAATCAGAAATTTGATCCCGTCGAAAAACTAATTTGTTAAGTGAATCATAGTTTATTCGGTACGAAGATGGGCGGCGCAAGCGAGCCCGGAAACGTTCATCTCGGGGCAGGACGTAATTTTTGCGCCGGCCGTCAGTATCGCTTCCAGTGCGCCATATTTTCTAGCTCGCGTGAAACTTCGCGAGTCTCGCCTGCCAAACCTCTCGCCCCAATCCAATCTTGTGTTTTACGCACAGCGAGCGCGCGGAGCCGATTTCCGGTTCGTACTTAATCGAGTATAGTGCCGAGCGGAATATGCCGGCGGGTAATCAATTACGCAAATTAATCGAGACATTGGAAAAAAGGTCGGAAAACAGTGACAACCGTGGCACGGGGAAAAGAAGGAACGCGAAAGGAATATGATCGGAGTTTGTTTTGCGAATGCTCGACGATCGGATTACTTCTATTGTTCGATGTGAATATTTGGTTGTCACGCGCGTACTTGTAAACCAACTCCGACGGGATGGTGATTTAAATAAAGACTATCGTGATATTTATTATCAGGCCGGCCGGAGAATCGAAAATTGATTGCTTTTGAAAACGTTAAAGGTTGCCAATATATTCCGTCGCCGTTACATGTTTGATTTTGGAATTATTTCCGATGATTCACTACTGTCAAATATAATTTCGCGCGACGGGAATTCGTTAACACGGATATCGGTGAATTCTGGCGGTTTAATCTTCGCTCGGAGGTACGAAGCAAATCGCAAACACCGGGCGGTGACGTAACAATCTGAATTTTCCCATCGACCCGTCTCCCGTTTCTCCATTAAAGCTCGGGCGCGATTTACTTTGACCGAATGAAAACTACGTTTCATGTTAATTGAAGCGTGCTGTAATCTTCAGATTGATTAACAATAACGAATAACCCCGATGGCCATGCTTATTATGCTTGATTGAATTTCCAGCGTGCGGAATTATTCCCGTTCGCGGACGCGCCCGTTATAATTTCGTAACGACCGGCCATGCGAAAACAAACGGAAACGGTGGTGTCGTTTGTTATCGGATTTCGGGCCGCCCGAGCGAATTTCGTCAACTTTTTAAACCGTGTCGTTAGTTAATCGAAATTAAACGATCGATACCGGGACACGGTAAAAGTAGATTCGAAACATTTTTAGCGCGACAAATCGCCCCTTCGTGTTCCCGTAATTTTTCCTCCGACGCGAAACCACGAAAGCGTTCTCAAAATTTTACTGCCAATTACGGAACACGTCGGGAATATTCTGCTCCAGCTTAAAATATTTACTTTGATTATCGAAACAACAGCAACGATCTCATTACTGTTTCACGGATGCGCACGGAATCTGTTATTGCAAGCAGCCCGGTGTATTTGTTAATGAATATTTACCTGTAACCGACGAATTACACCCTCGCAGCTGTTAACGAAAAGTACCGACGACCAAGTTTATCGATTATTAACACGATCGACCAACTTTCCACCCCGCTAAATGGATACACAAATGAGTAATGAAGTTACCTCGGTAAACAGCTCATTTCGCCCTGCTATAATGTATCGGGCTTAATTAAATTTTCTAATTTCCCCCCGGCAGAACCGAGTTGCAAAATTATTTACGCCGATCATCGGCGACACATTCGCGTGTATCGACCGAACGACGGGGACAGGGAAAAAATGGTAATCTTTTTCGCGAGGCAATTTGCCCCGGAACGGCTGCGTCTGCTCTCATTAGTGATGTAGGTCGTTCGCTGATCAGACGTGCAAAGTGATCATTGCGCGCGGCGCGTCAGTCAATTCCGAAAACAACCGGCTCAATTACCGGACCAATTTCCACGCGTTAATTTCATGGGCGCGAGGCCGAATCGCGACAGCGGTCGGCGCTCATGAAAAATTTCGGAGACCAGGGAAACGCGGAACGCGGGAAAATATTTTCGTCGACGCTCCCCCGTTCGCCGGGCTCTTTCAGTCTTGATTTTCCCGCAAGCACGACTCGCCGCGGAATTTTCGAGCCACCCTCGCGCGAGTTCCATCGTCCTGTTACCATGCGATTAACGCGCGCGACGAACACCGCGACCGTTTTTGAAGCGGGAATGTATTCGCTCCGAGATTTATATCAAACGAACCGGTGAATTTGAAATAAAACGCGACATCGGACCGGCGAATCCATCGCTTTTATTATGAAAACACGCATTCTTTTTGTTCTTCTTGAATTCTTTACAGAAGTTTCCGTTCCGATTTTTTAACGTGTTTTAAAATTATAATGACTGTGGAGTGGGAACACTTTTTACGTTCAATAAGGTCAACCAACGTTTACTAGATTGTAGATGATAATATTCGGGAAAATATGAAAAAGTGGCGTTTGAATGTTTATATCATATAACTGTAAATACAATTTCAACGTGTCCCGTGGATTCAAATAGTCGTTTATTTGATCGAACTCCCGTGACGGTATATAAATCGTGTCATTCGAGTGTGAAGCAAGCAAATAAATAAATTTCACAACGTCACGGACGTTAGAATGAAAACATTTGATATATTCAATGTTATTTAGCGTTATTGACGGAATCGTGTTACCCTGAATTATGATTAACGAAATCACAGACTACAATTAGCGATTTCGCATTGTAACGAATATACTTCAATTCCTCGAACGAGTTCCATTTCAGCCGGATCTCTCGGCATCGGAGCCCGACGGGGATCAAAAGGAATTCCAGAAGCGACCCGATCGCGGGATAATTAATTAAGAACGGGGACAAGACCTTTAAATATGCGATCGTGCCCGAGCCGTCCGGCTCAGTTAAGAATTAAGGCGCAATCGCTGCATCCCTTGTCGAAACTTGGCGAGGAAGAAGAAACTTCCGGCGGAAACTCGAGATTTGCGCAGGTGGAACACACAGTATAACCCAGAACCGTCCACTCCGAGAGCCGTTCTTCTTCTGTCCACCGTTGGACTCGTCCAAACTTATTTATAACTTTTGGCTTCCGCCACGATTGTACGCGGCCGCGTTTTTCTTCGGACAGGGAAAATGCGAGCTAACGAGGCGTCGCCCGGTCGTCTTCGGCCAATATTTACCCGTGGGTGCGTCGAGACGCCCGCAATTCTCGTCCATTAAGTTAATTCGATCTTACTTTGCACCGCGGAGTCGTTCTCTATGTGTACCGAGAAACAGAGAACTACGAGATGTCTCGTTCCATCGATTAGCTTCTGAAATGGTCGCGACCTCCAGCAATCAATGGTCCACACAAAATAAAACTTTCCTATCGAAACTGTTTAATAAGATTGCGTCGAAGAGACAAATTGTGGACGTGATTATTAAATTTGTGTCTTTTACTATGATAGAATTTATATATATACGGAGTGAGTCACCTAACGTTGCCACCTGAAATATCTTTGTGCTTTTTAAAGATACGTTAAATATCTTAAGGACAAAGTTGAATAGTTTGTGGGGCTCACACGATACCAAAAAGGTCTCTGTTTTTCTATCATTTTTTTTAGAGATTTCCAGGTCACCTTGATTTTTTTTTAATGGAATGACCTGCTTTTTTAGGTCATAGATCGATAGAGTATCAAATTCTGAGAATCAAATTATATAAATCATATTCCTTTATGATTCGTTTAAAATCCTGAGAATCTGACAGACTCAGAATAGTTATTGTAATATATTGCTTCACAGTATAACAGTATTCGCGATGTTCGCAACGGATTATATATTGCTTTAAAGAATGTATAAATGGTCAACGTTAACACCTGTCAAGCTTGATAAAACTGGTAAAAGGACGAATTACGAAATTCATTAGTCGAGTGGCTGAAATTTGAAATTTAGTAAGACGGCGGCTTCATGGCGCGGAGAAAGCCGAGGCAAATATGGCGACGATTCAGAAGGGTGTCCGAGAGGGGCGTCAAGAAATAATTAACGAGATTTAATAGCGGCGACAGTGGTGACGAAGTTGGAAGGACAATATCTAATCAGCGGGACGAGTCCACGTAATTAAGCACTAACCGGGCGCCCAGTACACGCAAACTGGTTTTGCATTATTAAAGCACCGGCGCGCGAGTTCTCCTTTCACGTCGGACACGCTCGATAAGTGCGCGACGCTTTTGTGCCATCACGACTCGTTAGAGTTTGTCTTCCCCTCCGTGAAATTCCTCCAATTGTATCGTTTAGCGTCCTTCCCGCTTGTTCCGCCGGATGTAACGCGAATCGCGCTGTGTACCGGCGTCTTCCGACGTATTTGTCTGTTCGTTGCAGCGAAGTAATCAGTGGACAACTGAATAATATAATCCTTCTGTCCGTTTAATCCCTTTGTAACCGTTTAATCCGTTTTCTTGAATTCCCCTTTGAAAATCTGCTTCGATGAATATTCCGTTTCGCGCGTTCGGAGGACGCGTTAAAAACAGTCACTGCTGAACTGCTTTATTTGTTCTACTAATAGAAAGATCTTAACGAAAATTCATTTCAACTACAAATCTTT